GATGATTCTCCTTATATTCACAATAACCTATCGAATGTAGTGTCTAATATTCACCTACGTAGCTCACTTAGTTTATGTTATGTGTTAAAAATAGTTTAATAAATAACTAGCATTAAGTAAGGAAGCAGTATGTTCTCAGATAAGTGAGGGTAATAAAGTAATTGTCAAAAACAGAAGTACCTCATTCTGAAGTTTGGTGGACATTGTACCTTTTTCCGAAAGGCATAGCTGATTCATTACTTTTTCTGCAAATAACTACTTATTTTTTTTTGGAGGGGAGGGGGAGGGGACTTGTAGACGTGGACATTACACATGACATTCCAATTTAACAACTCCCCATCAGCTACTTAGGTCTTCCACTTACTTTATGATAGCACATGATTATGGCTCTCTCCAAGACAAGATCCGAAGCCGTTTTTTTCTAGTAAATATCTCTTGTATGTGTTGTAAACAAAGACCACATAGTGAACAAAGAGAGAATTAAAACCAGAGAGAATGGAGAAGATCTCATCTTATTATCTTTCACATAAGCTCTCACAAAGAGTAGCTATGTTCATCTAATTAGAGTGTTACATAGCTTAGTGAGTAAGTTACTTAGTCTATAAAATTGTCCAAGGGAGATGTATGTCCGAGGGGGATGTATGTCCAAAAGAGATGTTTCCTTAGTGATTAAGTAATGCATTAATCACATGTTTAAAACATGTTTTATAACACTACCCTTGATTAATCATTACTGTGTACATGCAGTATACTGCCTCGTTAAAAATCTTATCATGGAAAAACCCGTTCGGGATAAAAACCATGTTAAGGGAAAGATAGTGCAGTAACGCTCCCCCTGGAAAAGATATATCTTCTTTCTTCAAACGTCTCGTACACCATGCTTTCCGATACTTTGAATATACTTCTTAAATGTCGTGGAGGGAAGTGACTTTGTAAAAAGTTCTGCAACATTGTCGCTTGAACGAATGTTTTGGATTTCAACTTCCTTCTTTTCTTTAACTTCTTGAGTATAGGAGAAAATCTCAGAAGAAGATTTTTTGTCCTATCACTCTTGATATAACCTCCTTTTATCTCAGCGACACAATCATCATTGTCTTGTGATTATTTGATTGATGCACAAAACATTCCGTCTTGGAAATGCTTGATCTAGATTACTAGACAAATTTTTGTCTTTCTAAGATCTTTCATTTCAAATTCTTCTTTCATGTGAGCTCTTGCATCATCCATCTCCTTTTGAGTTCCAATTATACTTAGGTTATCAACATATACAATGATGATCACAAATCCTAACAAAGATTTCATAATAAATACACAAGGGCATATCGCATTGTTGATGTATCCTTTACTCAATAAGTATTCACTCAAGCGATTATACCACACATGTCCAGACTGCTTTAATCCGTTTAGTGATCGTTGTAGTTTGACTGAACAAATTTTCTTAGATGCTTCTGCATCTTTGATTTTTCTAGGATCTTTAATCCTTCTTTCTATGGTTCTTCTCGTACCTTTTGATATATGTCTTTTAGACATTTTCATTACATGGTTCTTCTCGAACATTTACTCCCAATTTGTGTCTCTTTCGGGGATTTCTATCGGTCGATCCTATTGGCCTCCCGCGCTTTAATTTAACATGTTCATTTGCCCTATTCACATTAACATGTTCTTCGGGAACATTTATCCTTGATGGAGTGTTAGCAGCGGGGATATAGGATTTCGTCACCCTTCTTATATATGTGAATACATCAAATAAATAGTTTGCCAAACTTAATAAGTGTGCGATTTTTCCTTTTTGTACTTCCCATTCCCGTTAATTTGTAGGAAGATTGAGATAAACCAAAGTTTTTAATATTTATGTGTTTCTTTTGGTGATTCTCTCAATTCTCCCCCTAACGCGGGGAATTCACTTTTATCAAATTGACAAATAGCAAATACCGGATTGATGTAGATTTATTTATAACTTTGGACAGCTTGATAGCTGGTGTGGGTATTAAGGATAAGGATATATGTGGGAGCCAAATCTCACACCACACCCTTGAATCTAAGACGAGAAGATAATGATTATTCCTTAAACAAATAACAAAGAATATTATGTACGGAAACTATAGGAAAGATATAAAATTTGCTCAAGAAATGTGTATAGTATTGTTTTTCTCCAAAAAGATGTATCTGCGAAATAAAATTAGACTAGTTAACCCCTAGGTTGCATGGAAACGGAAACGCATACGTGGAAGCGAAACGTTTCGGAAACGGGAAACGACAATTTTTAAAAATTAAGGAATGGAAACGTTTTGGAAACGTATGCATATATAATTATATATATATATATATATATACTAAAATACCAAATATAAAATCCATATTTTTTAAAAATAATAATTTTTGAAACAACACAAATTCAAAACATAAATACTAAATAGTTAAATAAAACTCTAAAAATAATACTAAAATGCTCAAATTCAAATGTTTAGACCAGCATTGCCGTTATCATTTTTATCAAATAAAACAGTCTCTAAATCAGGTTCGTCCAGAGAAAAATCTTCAGACTCAAATCTCCCAAGATAGACTCATCTAGTAAATCAAGTTGATCACCTCCAGCATCCCACATATTCTTAGGACCATAATTTTTATTTATTGATTTTTTTTTAATTAGAAATAGATACAATCTTTTTTTTTTATAATCACAACATATTCTTATATTTTATAATTGTTTTAATCTAAAAACGGAAACGAGAGTTTCCATAGAGTTTCCAAATGGAAATTTTTAGGAATCGTGTTTCCATGGGTAGTTTCCGAGTTTCCGAGAGTTTCTGTTTCTGAAACGTTTCGGAAACGGGAAACGCACTTCGAAAAAAGTTTCCATGCAACGTAGGTTAACCCGTGCAACAGCACATACTCATAATTTTTATTAATTAATTGATTATATTATTTAAATACTGAGTAAAAATGTAATGTGTAAATAGGTATATAATGCATGACTTGATTAATTTATTTTAATCGGGTAGTTGTGTGTAATACTAATCTCATAATTTTTAGAAATATGTATCAAAATACTTCCTCATGATGATTAGCACCTACATGCATTTTTTCATATTGAGTCCCAAATAATACAAAACCCTTTATAGTTATCAAATTGCACACTCATAATGTATGTTTGACGGACCAACCAGTGAAAGACTTCCTTTGGAAATAATGCATTGTTTAAAAATACACTCATACTAAATAGTTTATAGACTAACCCATAAGAGATTACATCCATAAAAAATACATACTCACATTGTATATTTGGTGGACTAGTCGTAAAATACTTATATGTTGTCTTATATATGTTGTTGTTTTTGTAATCGAGGTTTAGGTTTGGTTTTGAATATTGGCTTTCGGATGAGAAAAAGCCAATTTCTTTTCTTTTTTAACATTATGTAATCACTACATAGTCGCTAAATAGTGAAATAATAGTCGCCAAATAGTCCGTCTTATTTTACGACCATGTTACGACATATGCAATATTCATGTTATTTAATCGCAAAATAGTCGTAACGTGGTCACATATTTTAACGACTATGTTTCGACTACAATTACGACAACAAGTAGCGACTACGTTACGACTACATGATTTAGCGATTGCCGAGTTATGACTACGTCTTATAGCCGTAGCTCTCTGTTTTATGACTATTTAGCGACTAATATTGTAGTCGTAAAATGCCTATTTTCTTGTAGTGATATATACTAGCCCATAAATATATTAATCATGTTCTACCATATGATTGTGAGTTTTGCAAACCAACCTGAGCACTCTTAAGATATAATGAAAATCTAACATATATACATTTATATTCTAAATCATATATATATATATATATATATTAAGATTATATTTTATGACTATATGACTGCCGAGTTACGACTACTTCTTATAGTCGTAACATAGTCATAACTCTCTGTTTTACGACTATTTAGCAACTAATACTATAGTCGTAAAATGCCTATTTTCTTGTAGTGACGTACTAACCCGTACAAATATTAATCATGCTCTACCATATGATTGTGAGTTTTGCAAACTAACCCATGCACTCTTAAGATATCATGAAAATCTAACATATATACATTTATATTCTAAATCATATATATTACGATTAATTTTTTTAAGAGATGTTGTTGAGAAAGAATTTTCAAAATATTAAAGATATTATAAATCTTTGAAAATAGGATTAGTTTAGTTTTAGAATGATTGTTAGATTTAGTTTTTAAAATCTTTGGAAAAAGATATATTCAAGATTTTTAAAAATATTGAATATACATTTTTTCTTTATCAATTTAGTAATGTATGTCCTTCAAAAAAAATAATTGCAACATATGAAAAACAAAAAAGTGTTAGACATATGTATTGTGTAATTAACAATTATAAACAAGATTAAAAAAGTGAAAGTATGTAACAACCCGCCCAGTGGGATCCTCCGCCACATGACACACCCCGCCACATGGCATCATTACAGTGTTGCAGCTCATCGACCCTAACCTCTCCTGTGGGCCCAAGCTGTTACCAACTGATCTGCAAATTGGGCCCACATGAGAGATGTTAGGGTCGATGCGCTGCAGGATCCCACATGACGGATTGTTACAAAGTAAAATAATAATTGTTTGAAATATATTAGTTTAAAAATTAGGTAGAGATATATTAGAAACTTTTTAAATATGTTTAGACAAGATTCGGACACGCGCTAAAGCGCGGGGGAAATAATTCAACGGATTGGAATATGTTACATTTTAATTTTATTGCAGTGCAATCGATTACGGTGAATCATATATTTGTATAATAAGTTTAAATAAAATAATAAAGGAAAAAAACGAGTAAATTATATTTTTGATACAATTAAAAACACGGTGAAAATTTAACAACACGAAATAATATTTGTCGTTAAATTATTCATTTTGACCATTTTTGTAGTATAAGTAGGAATATACGTAAAAATTACATATATATATATATTTTTTTTCATATTTCATGATTTCATAAATTTAAGCATAAATTCAAAACGGAAGTTTTGCAACTAAATAGTACGTACAGGTCATAATATAAGTTTCTGATAACACATAAAATAAGAAAACTAGCTTTCATCTGGTGATAGGATATATAAAACAAGTAGCAGAGGGACCAATAGTGTTGTGGAGGCTAACACCGCCAGACCCTAGTTTGAAATCTTTTCATGCGGCGCTCCGAAAGAAAAGTACCACAATGTTCACACCCTCTAAAGTTGGGGAATGTGTAGGTTTCCTCTTGATCTGCACGCAGCGTAAGACACCAACCTCCCACAGGACCTTGTCTTAATGCCTTGTCTACATCACCCTCATCCACATCAATGAAAGCAAATCCCAAGCGAGCACCCGTTTTACACTCTATGGGAACAAAAACCCTGCTGACTTGGCATCCCAATGACTCGAAATGTTCCCTCAATGCGTTCTTCATATCATCTCTGGCACGATGGGTATCCAATCCCCTAGCTAAAATAGTATAGTCGTCGTGGCCTCCATCTGAATCTTCAGTTTCAAAACAGCACTCATATGTTGCCAACTTCTCCTTTTTCTCTAGGGGTTCTTCCTCCTTGGATGAAGTATCAGGGGACTTGGTCAGTAACATCTCCTTCAATGACATCCCCGGTAGATCAGTATTTCCCATGAGAAACTCCTGCAGGTTTTTCATAGTTTCAGTCATCTCTTCGACAGATTTCCTCAATTTTACCATCTCCTCCTTCTTCTCGAGTGTTTCCAGCTTCTTCTTGGGTTCCAAATCATCTTCACTCGTTTGCTTTCTCTTAGATTTCTTCTTGCGTTTCTTCGGATTTACATCCGTCAGTAGCTCTCCCTCAGCTTTCTGCAAAGGCTTGGTGCCCTTGCCATCTTCTGCTTCAACATCGGTGGATGTGGAGCATCTCTTCAGTGTCTTGCCCTCCTTTCCCATGGAGATGATGAGTTGAAAATACCAAGCGGCTAGGTTTCGGGTCGAGGGAGGTAAGATCCCTCAAATTACATATATTTACAATATATTTTTTGGAGATATTCATAACTTGCTTTATTATTATAATTGTGATTTTAACAAATTACCCGTGAACTATCAATAATTTCCATAGTTTGACATATAGAATATTTTAGTAATAAAAATTATGTCTCCAAAATTACTAATATAGAGATATATACAATTCCGAATTTAATAGACCGGATTTTATGGCAAAAAAATAAATGATTTCCATAAATATTGGTTACTTATTATATTTTTGATTATTTATTTTTTCTAGAAAAACTTACGTGCCAATGAAAAAACTTCACATGTCATTACACCAGATCTGAATATCTTATTCACGATCCGAATAGATTATACTTGGATCCAAGTAAAATCTATTTTTAAATCAATTTGGATAATGATTACACCTTTTACACGAATAGATTATACTTGGATCCAAGTAAAATCTATTTTTAAATCAATTTGGATAATGATTACACCTTTTACAGTAACCACACTTCATGTAAATATGATTTTTGGGATATTTTAGGTACTTCTCTTTTAATAGTATAGGATATGAAAATAATATAACTTGTTTGAAAATTTCTGATTTATATCCAAATTCAATTAAATATTCGATTTTTAAATATTAAAGAACAATTTCAGAATAATTTTTTTAAATTGAGCCAACCCAAAGATCAAATATACATATCTGTAAGGGATGTAATTGGAAAGAAATCATTACAAAAAATGTAAGATCTTGCTAGTAAAATATCAAGAGGCAGATCCGAAGGTTGCAAAAAGCCACAGATCTAACGGCTAAAAACATGACAGGCACATATGATAGAGGAAATAAAAAGGGGGAAAATGTCATTTAAATCACGAACATTCAAATTTTGACCATTTAAATCACGGAGTTTCTATGTGGCCATTCAAAACATAAGCTTTTCGTGGATTTAGTTTTTAAAATATCATCTTTCGTTGACTAAGTCAAAATGAATATCATATTCAAAAATCTGTTAACAAAACAGCTAACAAACATTTAGACATCAGTAATCTATCTCTATTAGTAAGAGACGACGTTGTTTAAGGGAAAAAGTGAGAAATTAGGGATTTGATTTTTGGATTCTGACGTTAGAATCATGATTTTGAGATATAGTTTTAGCATTAAACGACGTCATTTCTCACTAACAAATATGATTAACGATGGCTAGCTGCTCTGTTAACGGATTTCAGGATATGATGTTCATTTCAGCTTGATAAACGAAAGATGATGTTTTAAAAAATAAGTTAACGATAAGTTCATGTTTTGAATGGCCACATAGAAAGTTCGTGATTTAAATGACCAAAATTTGAATGTTTGTGATTTAAATGACATTTTCCCAAATAAAAAGCCACAAAGGCTCTCCTCTTTCTCCCATCCGTAACTGTAAGACACATTCGAAACCCTAATCTAACCCTAACTTAGCCAAAAAGCATTCAATCCTCTCTCCGTTCGAATCATGGACGAAGATTTCACCGAGATCCTATGTTTCGAAGGTAAGATGTGTCTCCATCTCTAACCCCGAAATTTGTTGTTTAGATTTCTATGTGATCGATCTGTAAATAGAAAAATAATCTTTAGAATCTGTGTTTAATGCTTTGTTAAGTGCATAGAACACTCTTGTTCTAGAACTTGGATGAGTACTATCCAATCCCTAGTGGTGCCGATCTTCAATTAATATATGAAAATTTCGAATCAGCTCTTCATGAAATGGGTTTCAATGGAGATTTGGAAATCCGGGCGTTTGGTGACAAACTGAACCACAATCAAAGTGAAATTTCACACTATGATATGGAATTCTTGAAAGAAGATGAAGACGTAAAAGGTGAAGTCTTATATACTTAAATGGGAAAAATGTAATTTCAATCCCGAACTCACACATTTTGGCCATTTTAATCCTCGACTTTTACTGTGGCCATTAAAATCATAGACTTCCTCTTGGCGTTATTTTTAAATCACTATCTTCTGTTGACTGAGCTAGATTGAGCATGTTGTCAAAAAAAAATCTCTAATAGAGGAGTTAACAGCCGTTTAGGATCGTTAATCAATCTCTGTTAAGTAAAAAAAATGAGAATCACAAGGACAAACGACGTCGTGCTGCCTTAAACGAAATACCTCAATTCCCAAATCGACGTCGTTTGTCCTTGTGATTCTCATTTTTCGACTTAAAAGAGATCGATTAATGATCATAAACGGTTGTTAACTACGTTGTTAGAGAATTTGATTTGACGACATGCTCAATCTGGCTCAGTCAACAGAAGATAGTGATTTAAAAATAACGTCAACAAGAAGTTTATGATTTTAATGGCCACAGTGAAAATGGAGGATTAAAATGGCCAAAATGTGTGAGTTCGGGATTTAAATTACATTTTTCACATACTTAAATTCCTCTTTTAACACTTGTATGCAAGGCCTGATAACTCGTCTAGTTTCCTGTTAGCTTGTCTCGGACATAACACTCTTCTATGTGTTGATATATAGTTTTTGGGTACGAACCATCGACTGATTGGACAATGTCCATAGACCTCCTTACTATTGTCCATGCAAACATTGATGAGAGTCTAGTGGTTGTCGGAAAACAGAACGACGCTGTTGTTGTTGAAACGGGGTTTTTCGGGGTTTGAAGTCGAGAAAGTACACTATTCTCTTAGTAGAGCCGCCGCCTGCTGACATTGTAGATGATATTCTGTTTCATTCTGTAGCTTCTATTGTTGATTGTACGCGAGTTTATGGTGGAGGAAAGCCTAAGACGATGCTTGATATTGAGAACGATGCTGTTGTTGTTGGTGTTTAGATGATTTGCAGTTTTTCATAAGTTATAATTGAAGAGAATATTAGACAAGTATGGTGGCATGGTCGAGGTGCATACAATTAAGTTTATCTTGTAAGAACTCTAAAAAAATAGTTACATTTCTTGAATAAGTTTCTAGTAGACATACGAAGGCTTGAAAGCGCAATCCCTTGTGCTTGTAAACTCCTATAGTTTCTTCTCAACAGAGCATATGAGTCATATCAAGAAATCATTTTGTCTTCGTAGTTGAAATGTATTTGCTTGACTGTTTCGTGAGCCCACTGTCATAGTTAAAACATAAGAAACTAAAGACATTTATCTTTGCTTTCGTTCACCTCCTCTTATGTAAACCAATAAACATGTCACATATATTTTATAAAAAAAAATTTAAATCAAAAGAAAAAAACAAAACTAAAATCATAAACGAAAGAGTCACCTTCTTCGTTCTTTACTTTTTAGATTTTTCATTAACGATTTCAGTCGTTTTTTCTGAGACCAACACTCTATAATTCTAGAGGCACAGCCTACAACATAATTAAGGAAGAGGTATACAACCTTCCACTCCGTAAATAATAATTATCAGAAATATAAATGATCTTTAATAAACACAATTAAATGTCACCTCGAAAATATGACCGGATGTATACAATGCTTGAATACTCTTCTTTTTCCTTTCTATAAATTTTAATAATATTTAATATCATCTTTTGACTGAGATGGTTTGAGCGGTTATGTTGTGCTTTAAGCATTTCACGTTTCTATTATCTTACCATCTTTATTTTGTATTATAAAATCATATACCTGTGTGTCTATAGTTGTGGTTAGATATTCGATACCGGAAACATTTTTTTCTCAATATAATAAATTATTAAGACAAATGTCTTTGAAAGTCTATATGTTTTATTGAGACTTTGGAGAACACTAGTCATCGATAATGATGAATCCTAGGCTTTTGGAAGTTGACAGATGAACTCATCTAAACCTTCCAATTACTTTAGCCCTAAAAATATATTGACATGTTTCTCACACACATATATATATATATATATATTATTTTTAGTGAACTATTTCATTGTCTTTAAATCTCATATAATATAACACATATATGTATATATTTATTTATTTTACTAATAAACAAACATAAATACATAAAAGTATTTTAGAAACTATAGCCTTCATTTTGATTATATAGGAGGCAGAGCCTATCATCTTTCCGAAAAAGATATAGCTTTTATTTGATCTTGAAAGAGGCAGAGCCTAACATATATCTAACGATCTAACCGGAAATGACATAGCTATATATTTGATTGTAAAGGAGGCAAAGCCTACCACTTATAACAATCATCCGCATAAAGGCATATATAGTCTTACGATGTCTACAATATTATGTTCTATAGATATAAAATAAAAAATAGAAATTTTACGTAGCTCGTAAAAGCTCCAACAGTAAAGACATCGTGTTGATAATATGTTGTAAACTATATCTCTATATAGTTATCTTGGTGTTTAATGTTGATACAGTAAAAACAACTAAGAAAATGAGAACTAAAGAGGATTAAAAAGATATCGTCATATTATTTCTCAAAAAGCCTATTACAAAAAAATAGCTAAGGTCACCTATTTATAGTGTTAAAATAGCTTAGTGAGCAAGTGGGAAAATAGCGAAAATCAACCCAGACTATTTGCTAGCGGTATTTTTATACCCAATCTATGATACCCGACAAATTTTATTTTTTCCACAACAAATCAATTAATTTATATCATAAAAGTTTACATGATACATAAAACCATTCATACAACCATTGAAACAAATAAGGAAATTGAACACAATTTTAACAAAGAAGTGGAAGTGCCATGCTTTCTAAACGAAAGCCTTACATGCAACATACTAAATATGCTAAGTCCCCTCTCCGTACACTTGTAAAAGGCTAACATCTTATAGATGAAAATCCTCTATGCTTTTTGCATTACTCTAGTTAAAAGAAAATTTGAATTTGTTGTTTGAGATGGTTATGAAACATAACATTTGAAATATTGGGGGCATCTTAAGCGATCTTCGTTTTTGGCTATCTCCCATATAATAAAACTCCAATATCCTCACTGCATATTCTTTATTAATGTCAATTGTGTCTTCTGCATCTCCTTAACCAAA